TCCACAATAGTCTTCGGGTGACGACTGGACTAATTCCTCCGAGAAATGACTATTTATGGGTCATTCGAGTACTTTCACTTATCTCCGCTAACCGTTTTCCGCTTCACTGGTTAGTGGGAGATGACCGTTTGGCGGGAGTTGGCCATTTTACGCTTGATTATGGGTTTCCATATGTTGCGTATCTCTACGCTAACTTGGCTGAATACATTGTTGGAAAACATGTATGTGCCTTCTTTGAATTTCCTGCTAAACTAATGTTCCTTCCTGTATATCATCTCAGCTTGGGACCACTCGATGTTTTATTGATGGGCCCAAACATGGCTTAGAATCTCTCAATTTTTCATTTTTTGTTTAATTGTTCTATTTCTATTTGTATTTTATTTCACTGTTATTTCATTTCCGGGTGTTTTTGGTCAATATAATCGTTATTTTCAGCTATTCTTTTTTTAATTCTTAGTTTTTATTAGTTCCTTCAGAGATTTGAAATGATTATATATAATATCAGACAATGGAAGTCCGAACTAATGAAATTCAGAGAATGATGGATTTTTTATTATTCACTAACAAAAATTGCTTCCATTATCCACTCATTCGATTTGATTATTATGAAACCATGAAAATGCGTTCAATATTTTGTTTTCTCTTGTTTTTTTTTCCGGAGATCTCACTTTCTACTTGTGTTTCTCTTACATTTTACTCAATCATACGTCATCGAAAAATTAACATCTTTCTGTACTGACTTGCAAGAAATTTTATACTTCGAAAACTTGGGCAATTACTATATTTTAATTTTTTCGGTTTTGAATAATTTTGTCATTCTATTTTCGAAGGTATCAGAGACATTATGTGTCATCCCTGCAACGAAGTTAAAGGTAATGTGTCTAATTGTATCTAATACAGAAATTTCTATCGAATTCAGAAAAACTACTGAACATCATGAACATCACAAATACTTTTAAGAGAGTTACATTTGTGGGAGTGAGTAATTTTTGGGAAAGAAAGGGTTTGGCTTTCTACTTCTCCATCTTAGTACAAGGCCAAAAACTTTCCCAAAAATCACAAACACCTTTTTTCTTCATATTTCTCCTTCGATAAACAGAAAAGACGGCTGTTTAAAAAATATCCTCCTAGATTATCTTCACACCTTTGTTTGAATGTAATTACAATGTTTCTTGATGAATTTCATTAGTTCGGATTTCTATGTCTAATATATAAAATGATTTTAAAAGCCAGAAAGAACCAATACAAATGAAAAATTAAAAACAATAGCTGAAAATAATAATTATATTGGGCAAAAAAAACCTGGAATGAAATTACAGAGGAATAAAATACAAGTAAAAAATGGAACAATCAAACAAAAAATGAAAAATAAAATATTGAGTGATTCCAAGTCAAGTTACTAAGCGACGTTTCGATTGACAATATCCACAATCGTCTTCCGGTGATGGCTGGACTGATTCCTCTCTCCTCTTCACTCTTCACCGGTTCAGCAGAAGATGACTGTTTGGCGGGAGTTGGTCAATTTTCGCTTGATTATGGGTATCCATATGTTGCTTTTCTATGCGCCAGCTTCGCTGAATACATTGTTGGACAACATGTATGCGGCTTCTTTGAATTTCCTCCTAAAGCAGTATTCCTCCCTGTGTATGATCTCAGCTTGGGACCACTCGATTTTATGTTGATGTGTCCAAACATGATCTGCTAATCCTGATTTGCTGGTTTCTTGTGCTCGGCAATGCGAACTTTCAATGGCCTCTTAGTTTCGCCGATCTAGGATTTTCCGCACTCACAGGGTATCCGGTAAATGCAATTCTTGGAATCGCAGTCCGTGTTTGTTAACCTGGTTTTCGTGAGGTTGTTACGGATAGTATTTCCAGATCTGATGCAGGTTCTGATGTACTTGAACACAATTCTTTTCATCCTTCTCGATAATCCTCTGATGTTGGAAAATGCATGCACTGGTTGTTACGGCTTCTCTTTTTCGCGAAGCTCTTTATTTTTTTTAGACAAAATATGTTCCACCATCGCTTTGGAGTAGCCATTTCGTTAAAGGTAAGTTTTGATGTTGTCTAGTTCCTTCTCGAGACCTTCCTTCGTATTACAGAGCCCGAAAGCACGGTCTGATAGAGACTTGATGATTCTCGATATTATTACTAGGAGGATGTGTACGAAACTGTTATTTCCAACTTAATGACGAATTCTTTACAAAAGATGAGGGACTGCCAATGGGCTCGCAACTTTCACCAGTTATAGCCAATATATATGGTGTGGTTTGAAACTCTGGCCATTGAAGAAGTCCTCAATAAACCCCGAGTCTGGTTGAGAAACGTTTGACGACACCTTTACGATATGGAACCGTGGGAATACTGAACTAGACGCCTTCCTGAAACACATCAACAGCGTGATACCTTCCATTACTTTCACAATGGAGAAGGAAGTTCACAACAAATTGCCATTCTTAGACGTATTGGTGAAGGGGACCGACACTAAATGGGAAACATCTGTATACCGAAAACCCACCCACGCGGGACAGTATCTGAATCACGAATCCAATCACCATCAATCGACTAAAAGAGGAATTATCAAGACTCTATTAGACCGTGCTTTTGGGCTCTGTAATACGAAGGAAGGTCTCGAGAAGGAACTAGACATCATCAAAAATGATCTTCAANTCTATTTGAATTGAAGGGGTTATATTTTTAGGAGTAATTAATTTTTGGGAAAGAAAATTTTTGGCTACCTACTACTCCATCTTGATACAAAAAAATGTGGGAATCTTCCAAAGAAAGGAAGGAAGTAATCAATTTCAAAATAGGTAACTTTCAGGCACAAACTGAAAGAAAAAGTCCTCCTGAAACAGCTTTTTGAATATAAACATATACTTTCATATGAACTCTGAATTATACAAAAAATACTTTTTTCCTCTCAGTTGGTATTCCATACATTCTTTATGGAATTATATCAGATATCATTCACAAGACTTCTACGCAATATGCTAAGTGAATTGTAAAATTTCACTTACATGGAACAGTGTCATCCTCACTGATAGAAGTCGATATTTCGCCATAAGACACTTGCCTTAGGGCTCTTCAGTACTAATCTGGATAACATTATAAGAGAAAACCACACAATTCATTCCAGATTGGTACTGAGGAGCCCTGAGGCAAGTGTCTTATGGCGAAACATCGATGTCTACCAGTGAGGAGGACTGTACCAATCTGGTAGGCATAATATTATCCAGATCCAAAAATTATTGCAATCTGAATAAAAGCCTGTAGAAATAGCAGTACAGAATGATCCTGATGACAGGATTGAAAAATAAAAAGAATCAAAAATTGAATCAATGCGTGAAGGATTGAAATTATTCCTGGTTCTGTCTTCTTATGACGCAGTAGACATCCCATTGAATCAAATGCAAAAAGAGTTCATGACTAGCTGGAATTATATATGTTTGGTAAAGATATTTAGACGGTTCACACTGTTATGAAGAGACCATGTCCGGTACTGATGATGAGGCAAGAACCCCGAAACTGGTCTATCGATTGGTCGTATCGACCAAATGAAATTAATTTCATATTGTTTTTCATATTGGGAAGTAACTGGGTTAGTTGTTGTTCTTCCATCGGGTATCTGCCACACGTAAGGTGTTTTCAGCTGAATATATATATATA